CTCGGAGCTCAGGAAACCACTTGAAGTAGAAAAGGAAATAGAGGTTTCCGCCAGTTCGACGTCAGAAGAAGACTTCAAGCCTCAGAAGATAAACGTGAAGAGAGGTTCAACGAACGGACAGGTAGGGGAAGTGGAGATCGGCAAAGAATGGATCTCGAAGGCACATCAGGACATGGGCAAACAAGTGACGAGTGATCCATTGGAGAGGAACAAGACGAGGAACACTTCCCGGACGTGGTGGGTGGCCCTCGAAACATTGAAGGAAATGGAGGACTGCTTGAAGAAGTTGGACAGTGGAATAGCTCGCAAGCGACGCAATTGGGCCACCCAGCAAAAAGCCGAGGTTAATAAGATAGAGATGGCAAGTCATCTGAAGAGGTCCTGGCAGAGTTTGTTGAATGATCATTTTGAAGAGGCGATGAGGACATCCTCATCAGCACCGCCACTAATGGCGAATCCCTTCGTTAGAACTGCGGGACAATTAATGTTCACCTGGAGTCTGGTGGGAATAGAGTTGGAGACATTGACCTCGTATGACAGGCTGAAGTTGGGAAGCAAGAAGCTAGAGGTGCATCAGGCACTGATGCAACACGTGGCCAGGGACAATTCAGGCTTGAGCCTGGCTAGAAGAAAAGATGCCACATGTTTCTTGAGATGGATAATGTCAATGATGTCTGATAGCACCATCCTGGCATGCCACCAGAGAGCAAGTGGAAGTAAAACCATGGAGAAAAGAGTCTCAACGATCATCTTGAACGTATATCAGAGTACAGGAATAGAGAAAGAAGATGGTTCCAGACTATCCTTAGAGAACCATCGAAAGCTGGACGAGGTACGGAGGTTCTCTAATAAGAAGTTCGAGGAAGAACATGATGTTCACCGTAACCTGGCCTCGTCAGAACAGTACTCGAGACTCAGTGAGAAGGGGGAATTCCAATATGTGTCTGGAGTGATGGGAATAGCCTACAATCCCTTCTTAGACTCGGAAGCTGGAGGAGCCCACAGAAACCATGAGGTAGCGGAGCTACTGAAGTTTTGGACAGAAAGAATAATGGAAATAGACGCGGTGGAAAAAGAGGGGCCGAGCCTGGGCCTGATTCTTGAGAAAACAAGGTGATAAGCATACCGCGCTCAAACAAGAGAGTTGAAGTGAACATGGGCGGTGGAAATGGCTTGTTAACCACGAACTTGGGAGTGATATGGAAGCTACTAAGACCCTCCTGGTGTCCACATCCCCATGCGAGTCTAATCGAGGAAACCACGGAGCGAGTGAGGTTAGCACCAACGGAAGATGAAGATCTGGCGAAGTTGAGTGTGCTACATAAGCTAATCACGCCCCAGATGCAAGAGCCAAGCGAAAGGACGAGCGACCCCGGGTCAGCAAAGAAATTGGAGCCGGGTAGCTGTCTGGATTCGACGTGTGGGAACGGAGAGCACATCTGCGATGGACGGTCATGCGTCAGAATACTGTCGTTTCAAAAAGAAGACCTGGTCACTTGGTTCGAAGACATCACAGAAAGGGAGAAAAGTGAAGTGCAAATAATAGCGGAATGTTACGCGAGAACCACGGTGAATATAGCGACAGCTCTCGGATTCTTCTCGAGAATGTGTGGTCTGCAGGCACTGGAGAGACTGGAATCTGAACATCATTTAGTGACGGCGTTGAGCGTAGAATCATGGCCCGGGGTGTTGCAGGTGACTCAAAAACACATCCGGAGCTGGAAGGTTGGTCTTGAGGCGGAAATGGGATTTCCCATGAGCGAAGCTTATGGCTTGCCATTGAACGCGAAATCGCTGATAGGGTCAATGATGGCCAACTTGTGCGGAAGTCACTACCCGCTACACATGGCGATGGTGGAAGTGTCCAGCCAGAGAATACTGGTGGACAAGGCCTTCTCAGTGCCCAAGTGCGTGAGGTTGGCTCGGATGTCGCATCACTCGCACAAGTTGTTGAGAAAAATCAAAGGGACAGTACCGAAAGAATTGAGAGATGACTTAAGCGAAATCTGGGGAGAAGATCTTCTGAAGTTGGAAAGAGAAAACACAAGCGATCACGAGAGACAAAACGTGATCGGAAAACCTGTGGGAAGTACTCCGAACCTGGAAGATAACGACACGATGCACGAGAAAATGATGGAGCTTGAGCCTCTCTTGGAAGCCTCAGGGGAGCGTAATCTCAGGAGCATTGAGATCTCTCATGGGGAAAGCCCATGCCACTGTTTGGCACAAACGGTGTGGTATCCAGATCACAAGAACCTTTGCCTGGTGTGGGATGTGGAAGAGATTCGGTCGATCGGACTACCGGATCACCGGCAGAAGGTGACGCTCTTAGTAGTGAGTACGATGTTAGCTCTGAGATGGATAGAAGAGAATATAACGAAGTATCGGGAGGCGACGACGCCAACGGCTGAGTCAATATACGCGATAGACTACAGCAGGAGACTCGAGTTGTTTGAGACTGCGTGCAAAGTATTCGCCATACCGACGGAAGTCAGGCACGTATGGAGTCGCTTGAGGTACTTTCCATGGTTTCGGGCGACACTGACGTCTTGGTTGTACATGACAACGAAAGATCACATGAGAAAACAAAAAAAAAGAGTATCGACAGTTCCAGGCCGAGATTGGGCCGGAAGCTTTCAAGAGACCCCTGCTAACCCATCGTAATGCGATCACGACAGGATGGAAAAGAGTGGGTAAGATGTCTAGAGACAATACCAAAGCGAGGGAGTCGATACTAGAGGAAGACCTGGCAAAGAACGTGAGCTTGAGCCTGCACAACTCCTTTTGCTTGAACCGAGAAGCTAGGGTGAAGGCACTACCCAACCAAGCAAAGAGGTTGCAGGAGCAGAGAGAATGGATGCGATCCTATGAACAGCTGAAGGCTTGGGAGGAGATTGTGATTAGTTCCGATGATGAAGAGGAACTGTTGAGACAGTTTGCCGCATCTAGCACTTCAGGATGCAGTACCTCCAAGGCGAAGAGTACGAGATGAATGGGCAAATCGGATGGATCTTGAGTCTTGAGAGGGAAGGGGGGCTTGAGCGTGGATCCGAGTGAAACTTGGATTCACGAAAAAGAAATTTTAACAAAGCAAATATTGTTACTAATATACTATATTTATTATATAAATCGAAATGCTGCATGACAATTTCCTGATTGAATAGGACAAAAGAGATTTTAAAATGATTGGCTTGAAAAGCGAAAATTCAAGGGTGCAGGTGTATGCAGATTTTGGTTGCTGTTTAGCAATAGTGTGAAAATTTTAAATGGCTGTGAATTTTGGGGTGTAGATAAGCTTAAATCTGCTGCAAACTTCTGTAAATGACCACTGGCACTGTATCTTGAGCAACACTCGGTTTTTCTGGGACTCACTGGCAGAAGACAGCGCGCGATGAGGACATCGATCTCGAGTCCGGGGAGTATGTGCCAGTCGGTCATATTTGGAAGTTTGACCTTGAGAGGAGCAAAAAAACACTTGATTTTGGAGTGAAATTTAATTTTTCAAAATTTCGAATGAAACCTGTCATGCACGATTTTCTCGCGAGAACTGAAAATCAGAAAAAGAAGTTAGAACAATTTCAGAACAATTGAGTCGCACACGCGGGAAAGTTGTAAGAAAAAGCAGTAGGAAATTGCTATTCGCAATTTCCATCACTATAATAATCGAGAGTAGAGCTGTCCCATCTGTGACAGAGACGAGAGCATTCCCTCGAATTGGATTATAGCGACTGGAGTATTATTCGGAACTGGACTAGAGTGAACCTTCGGTGGAAAGGTGGACAGCTTGAGTGTCCTAATGGTTCACAAGAAAACTATTGTCTAGAGTATAAACTCGTTCTCATTGTTAAAACTATAAAACATTAGACTCATTTAGTTACGTTATTTAATTCTTGAGTTAACTACCGACTGGATTATTTCCCACTTCTTGAGCGTGCTACTATGTGAGTACAAATTTAAATTCCTAGAGTGTGTTTTATGATTGTTATGTTGAGGTAAGGCGAGTTTTAGGTTGATCCATCTGAAATTGATCAAAGTTCCACTGTCTAATAAAAAAGCAACTTAACGGATTGTTCCAACCCGGTTTTTAACGGCGTTCATGTATTTTGGGTATCTAGAGACCTAAGTATGGGGACGTTTCTAATTCTAGAGTGGGGGGATATTTTAGTAGTAGCCTTTAAGCTGTAACGGGTCGTAGTCTCATGTCACAAACGAACCGAACTGGCTCCGACCGTTCTTGAGGTAGAAAAACACAAGAGATAGTGTCCCTGACCCTTGAGCCAGTGGTTATAGGGCCTATTTTTCTTCAGCCTCATGTGTGACTGCAGTAGACGAATGTTACAAAAGCATCCCATTGGAAATACCGTCCTGTTAAGTAGAATGATTCCTTCGCTTTTGATGCTGGTCATAAATTGCTCTGCTTTGAGGGTAGCAAAAACTGTCAGTGTATGAAGTCTGCGGTCATCTTTTGTCACAGTTATTGTTTTTGAGATTGTCATCATTGAGTATATCGGAAGCACAACTTCGATATGCCTGCGCCAGATTTTCAGCTGACTTGACAATTCCTCTCGAGGATAGGGTGAAGATTTTGATTATTTATATTTGTTTTGTTTCTTCCGTCGATTTGTTAGCTGTTACCGCATTCTAAATTTTGTCTCCGTTTCAATCAGCACTTCATGAGTAATTGGTAACTGAGGTTCCGTCAGTTGTTGTTGACTCATGACTAAGTTTTACTCGTTGGGGGCAAAAAAAAGCCTTCACCAGGAGATATACTAGAAAAAATTAGACTTTTCTCTTTCAAAGTGTAGAAATTAGAAGGCAAAAACATCAACTACTTTGCACATGCGTGTATTGCACGTGCTTTTTTTTCTTATTCGACCTTATTTTTGAAATTTGGAATTTACAAAATTTCGAAAAAAGTCACAACTCAAGTAAGAATTTTTTCGCTGATTTTTATTTGAACTTCAAGAAGAAGAAATTTTATACAGTGCAGAACAAATTCGTACCAAACTTCTCTTCTAATGAAAATTGCTTTATGAATTCCAAAAAAACATCGTGAAAAATTTTGTTCAATCTGAGCAAGCTTTTGATTCTTCGGGAGACATGAAAAAGTTCACTTTCCGGGTCGTTTCAGGAAATTGAGTTGGTATAAAGAAGTTATATTAAAAACTGGTAATCTTTTTGTTCAACTTAAATTTAATTCAGAACGAACCGTTAGTTGTATAAGCAGCAAACCGATTAAAACGAAACAAAACTGAATTTGAAAGATGGCAAAATTTATCGTTAAATTCGATTCCAAATATTGAATTTGTGTAAAATACAAAGTTGACAAAACTTTCAATGACAAAAGAGAGAATGAAAAAGTTATACTATTATTATGGTTTATTGAATTGGGAGTTTAAGCGCTTTAAGGTGAAAAAGATTGTAAGTGATCAAAATTAACGGTCATGAAAGTCACGTTTTCAATGTAATTGCATCATTTAATAAGGTTTTGTATTAGATAACCGATGGGTGACAGTGAAGATGATTTTGATGCTCGCTCTCGAGACAAATTTCGAAGAGAACGAAATGACATAGGGCAGAGGCCGCCGCAGCAGCAACGAACTGATGGTAATTGGCAGAAGTAAGTGATGTTAAAGTTGAGAAATATCTGCGCGTGAAGAATTTAATTTACCTTGATGCTTCAGGCTACACCTGAGTAGCACGTCTTTAACAAGTAGCACAAAGTTATTCTCTTCATAGTACTCGAGGTTACCGGGAGGAGTCCTGTCATCGCATATTCAAGTCAAAATCCTTGGATTTTTTTTGATCTGGAAGTGATAATTATGAAAAGGAGATGATTAGTGTTGATGTGTTTAAAATTAAACTCGATAAGGGTTACGTTTCTTCAATAAGTTATTCTTGAAACATGTTTTTGCAATAGGATTTTTAGTTGACAACAATCTTAGCGAAGCGAATACCGTTTTTTTTGCATTTATTGTTTCCAGTGAAGAGCTAAACTAAGCAGTATTTGTTATGAAGTATCGTCCCTCTAAAAACGTTGCGAAGTTTGATCCCAGAAAATGCATATAATCTCTTGATGCGAGTGGTTAAAACAAATACAAGCTGCAATCGGACTGTTGTTTGACCATGAGTAATATCAGTCATAAAGATATTGCAATTACGGAAACTTGGGGTTACTTATTTAAGAATATGACTGTCCCGTGCAATATTAAGTGTTTCAATTTTTGCCAGTGCATTGATGTTTTAACGCTTGCGATTAACGAGCGTTATCAAACCGGAAAATTGACCGCTAGTCTTAAAATCTTAAGTCGGACTCCTGTCTGTCTGATTTGTGTCGGCTTAGTTATCGCAGCACCAAATTTGCTTAATATTTAGGCACGTTTTACTCGACTCTGAAAATGGACAAGGAATAAAACTTTTATCTCCTGTTAATTAGCATCAAAATTTTTCTTGATAGATTGTAAAAACAGCGATTTCTCAAAAACCAGAAGGATTTAGACGGCCAAGTTTTCGGCATAGAATCGCAGCCTTAAGGAATTTCTGACCGCATCTAAAGGGTTAATTGAACAGGGTTAACCTTAATAAAAGTTAGGTATCAAATATAAAGCGACCAAGTTACGAATTTCCTAAAATAAAATTGTTTTTATATTTGTCTTTTCTAAAAACAAAATTGTCGACTGCTCTTTCGCCTGAAGTTATCAGGCCTTTAACGGTTCTCGCTTAAAAGCTTAAGTAGCTTTGATCTACGATTATAGAAGCGATGAGCTTAATTATTTTCTAGAACAGGCTGGTTTTTTGAAATTCATTATTTAATCAATACAATACCGCTCATGGAAGTCTCATTAGGAATTACACCACTCTCCCTAATTTAGAATAAATTTTGACATGCGAAATTTGATTTTTGTTCAGTATGATACCTAAACGTGTACACGATGCTTTGAGAGAGAAAAAAAATGACATTACTTTGAGAAATGGTGAGACAGGAAGCTTGAGTTTTACAATAGGAATTTATCAAAGTTTCAGCTGTGTTTCCTGTTAATTTATTCGAGTCTAGCCACGCATAGATATTCAAATCAGAACTAAATCGCTTGGATTTGGACTGCATGCAATAATGTTCGTATCATCTGCAAACAAATAACTCAGATATTTCGGCTACGCGAGGCGTATCATTAATGTAAATTAGAAAAAGGAGTGGATGCAACACAGAACTCCGAGGAACACCCCAATTAATAGATAGCCAGTTGGATTTTTTCATTTGACTCTACGCATTGGCGCCTAGCGTATAACTAATAAGGCAATTTTCTAATGAAGCTGCTTCAGAGCGTGGCGTCTGACTGTTTGAGTCTGATTTTTTTGTAAGGTTTTAAATCATTAGCTATGGGGAAAAGGTCGTTGGAATAATTGTTAATCGGAAACTGAAATTATTTAGTCGACAGCCAAGAGGAGGGTTTGTGCCGAGGGGGAATTACAACAACTACAACAACATGAGTTATGGCGGATACAATCAGCAAGGTCGACAGCCGGACTTCATTCACAAGCGTGGCCAGACAAGAGAGTACCCGAATGCAAGTCCACCACAGAAAAGAATGCGAAGGTAGCGTATCAATGTAATTGTATTACCAAGGAACTCTTTAACCATCACTTTAAAGCATCTTAAAACATAATTCAATTGACGTGTAGGTAGCGTTTTCCTAAATTTGCAATCCTTATTGATTAGAGCAAATCGGTTTAGGGATTCTGAGAATGATGACACCAATAAAAAGTTCGACGAGCCGATGTCCCCACCTACGCATCAGCCGCCGATGAAAAGCTTCAAGCAGTTCATTACAAACTTAGACGATGATGTAGGCGATGATGATGCAATCAACAAGTACCAGGAGTATAAACTCGACTTCAAAAAGACACAAATTGCAGAGTATTTTTCACAGCACAAGGACGAGGAATGGTAATTAGTTGCAGCTAAATAATTTGAGAATCTATAAAATTGGCATTAACTCAATTATAAATTGGCATTAACTCAATAATAACTTGTAGGTTCCAACTGAAGTATCACCCAGATGTATGTGAAACGCATAAGGCGAACCAACTCAAAGCGTATGCTGTTCGTTTGGAAGCTTTCAAGAAGCTGGAAAGTGTTATTAATGATCCCGAGTTAACGGTTGATTTGAACAAAGATCAAGCTTTGACTAGGCTTTTGGATTCTGGTAAGTATTGTTGTCTCTTAGAAAGACATGACACAAGGAACTAGTTGAACGGATTGTTAAATTGTGCGCGATATATTTAAGCTGTGATCTACATGGAAGGCGGGGATGAGAAAGACTTGGAAGCACTTGATATGGACGAGACAGAGTTGGCGACGACTCAAAAAGACAAAGACGGTGCTGCTTCAAAGCCGGCTAAAAAGGCGAAGAGGTCTAAAAAGAGAAAAAAGAGCGAGGCAAGTGGTTCCAGTCGCGACTCGACTCCTAACAAAAAGGTAAATCAATGTTTGCTTACTGAATACTACTCGATCGGTCTATAAAAATATGCATGGTGTTTATTTCAAACAGAAGGGAAGTGACGATGAGTCCAGCAGCTCCTCTAGCTCAAGTGAAGATTCTGATTCTGAAAATGAAGGAGAAGAGAAGAAGAAAAAGTCACACAAAGGTGAGCAAAAGCCAACTTAACGAGTTGTCAGGGGTCGCGGTTGGTAGTAACAGTCACCTACCTAACCGAAGCTGAATGCAATAACCTACATTGCTCGGCGAGCTATTCGTATGCGTTTCAATTGATTTGTGATAATACAATACTGCATTTTTTGCCTTTTTTAAGAGTCAATGAACTTAGTGAATGCTGTTATTTAAATTTTTTTTTTGCTAGTGGTTTGTAGTAAAGAGTTAAAATTTGATTTCCGACTTTTCCGATAAATAGAATGTTTTTTTTTTCCCGAAAACAACTTTTTGTACAAATCTCTTAGGAAATTGAAGTTGCGTTATTACTGAACTGTAGTAGCTTCGAGTTTCATTCCACTTTTGCCTCGCGGTCGCTTTTAAAACCTAAGGTATAGGGTTCGAGTCTTGGCGGGACTTAGTTTTGTTTTTAAGTGTACGCAACGGGAAAAAGTCAATTGTCAGACTTTCGTTTGCCAGCTTATGTTTTGTCGGCTTGTAGTGTTTTTGATTTATTTCTGTAATTTGTTAAATTATTAGCCCTGACGTTGGATATTTATTAAGATTCGATCAATATGAGACTTATATAGGTCGCGATGATTTCCTTTTTTTCAGATTCGCGTTTTGAATTTTCTAGTTCAGTTCATTTCTTTGGGTTAAAGGAAGGCAAACTCCACTATCGAGCAGCACAAGTGTAAAGGTTACGAAAAAAAAGATCGAATTCTAATTTCGAAGGTGGGATTTAGTTTTCAAAATTTTCCAGCGAAATAAAAAAAATTTTTGATCCAATTGCTCAAATTGCAATATTTTCAATCAAAAAAGTTCCAAACATTAATTGTTCTTGCAATTCAAAGTACTCTAAGGGCTTCTTTTTTGAAATTCGAAAGCTTAGACTTTTTCAGAAGTGAGTTTTTTTGTTTACTTGCGCTCATTGACTCTTATCTAACTGCCTGTGGGCTATGTTCCTTAGCTCACCTTCTTGTTTATCTAGGTATATAAGCTTTTCTGAGTTCAATTGAAATTAGTTTGTTGAATAACACTCTCCAAATGTGGCAATTGCGCGAAAAAAAACTTAAACAATTTGTAGTTTCGAAAGTGGAATTTAATTTTCAGATTTCCAGCGGAATTGAAACTTCACTTATTGATCCAGTTTTCTCAAGTTAGTTAAATGTTATCAGAAAACCGCGAATCATAAATCGTTCTAGAAATTCCAAGAACTTAAAAGACATTTATATTTTTCTTTGAAATTCGAAAGTTGCAATTTTTTCAACAAAGTCAGTGTTTTTTGCGTTAATTACTCTTTTCCAACTGTCAGTTGGCTATCTTTCAATTTTTTATTTGATTTTGTTATTTCCGTCTCTTTTCTTTACGCTAGCCTGCAATGCTGCGCTTGCGTTGTGTCGCAAGTGATGCAACGCTTAGCGTCACCTCTGTTTACACATTCGAAAGCAAATGTCTAAATTGAATTTCAGGCGTCGCCGCAACGAATTTGTAATATGCCAATAATGCAGATATTGCCGCAATTGTTACAAATTTTCTCGTCTTTTAAGGGTCAATGAAAGAATTGAGACTTAAACAGTTCCTGATGATTTTTTCAAGAGCAGTCAAGAGCTTTTTTGTAGTGTGACTTGATTTCCCTTTGAAAGTTCTGGTCAGTTTTTTTTTGTTAAAAGGAAGGCAAACAACTATCGAACAGCGAACATGTACCTGTCACGAAAAACGTGATTGACTTTTTATCGAAAATAGAATTTAATTATCAGACTCCAGCGAAATAAAAATTCAACCTTATAATTCAGTTTTAAATGAGACGAATTTATCAAAAAATTGTCTATCAAAAATTGTTAGAAATTAAGTGTTTTAAGGCACTCTATTTTTTTTCTCGGAAAATCAGATTTTTCCAAAAAACAAGTCAGTATTTTTTTCTGTTTACTTGCTTTCATTAAGTCCAACTGTCTGCTGGCTAAGTTTCTGTGCTTTTTAGATATTTGAAATATGGTTTTTGTTTCATTGTTCTTTTTTAACTATCGTTGGCTAACTTCTGGACTAGTGAATCTGCTCAATCTGTTTGTCAGAGCCAAGAGCAGAAAATTTTAAAGTTTTCTAACCCGTGCATGCGAAATCCGATCGAGATTCTATACAATAAACCGATACTTAACCGAAGTGTTAATGTTTCTGCAGAAAAAAGTGGTGAAGACGGCGAAATTGGCAACAAAGTCGACAACAGGCCCAAGCCCCTGCACAAGACAGTGTCGCTGTTTATTCAAGCACTTCCGCCCAAAATAACCCGACAAGAACTGGAGGAGGTATATTGGTTATCTTGAGCTTGCTAGTTACGGTATAGGAATAGGCGAAATTCATTGCAGATGGGCAAGTAGACATTTGAGATGGGAACAGATTTCAAAAACAAAGTAATGGACTTTTATGGCCAAAAAAATTTACGCTTTCCCTATTCCTTTGGTTATCTTTCTTTCACCATATTGCAAAAATGAACAAATTTCGGTTGTAACATTGGCACCAAAAATGGCATATTTGGCAAAATTGACGGTCAATTCTACCCTTCCCGTACATTAGCAACTGATTAGTTGCCTTTTTATGATTGTTTAGAAAATGATCCAAGCTTCACCCGGTTTCCTGAGGCTCGCGTTTACTGAAGCGCTGCCTGAAAAGAAGTGAGTATCAAATGCTTTCCGACATGCTAGTATTCTAGAGTGATTTGTTTTAAACACACTTCTTGGATTTAGATTCTTTCGAAAAGTCTACGCTACCTTCAAGCACGATGTGAATATTAAAGAGATATGCTGGCATTTGAACAATGAAAAAGTACAGGACCAGGAATTAGCCACGTTGGTTAACAAAAGCATTCAGCTCCGAGTTCGACCTGTGAATGGAATCACTGCTTACAAAGACGTTGTGAGAGCCGATCTGAAACTAGCGGCGAAATTAGTTCATAAACTAGATTGCGAGCGCGGCTTATACGTGCCTCCGCAAACTGAAGTAGTAGAGAAGAAAGAAAAGGTGAAAGAATTGAAGCCAGTTGAGCAGAGTGAGACTAAGCACGACAAATCTGATTCAGCACTGGACGAAGACAAGAAAGACCAAACGGAAAGTGAGGTCGAATGGAAACAGGAGACAACTGAGCCCAAAGAAGAAATTAAGCAAGACATGAACTCCTCGACTGAAAACAATTCACCAGAGAAAAAGCAAGACCCAACAGAACCGGCAGCTCCTCAGATCAGCGCTTCAGCCGATGTTACCAAATCCACAAATCCTTTGCTTGAGCATATAACTGACTATTTGATTGAAGAAGTGAGCGCGGAGGAGGAGGAACTTCTTGCAGGTCTCGCTGCAAGCAATGCTGGACTCACTGGCAACGGCACTGGACCAGGTCCAGACGAAGCAGTTCTCGATCGAGATGAGAAGCTCCTGAAAGTTTTGGACAAATTGATTCTGTACCTAAGAATAGTGCATAGTATTGACTTCTACGCAACCATTGAGTATCCAAATGAAGATGATATGCCATCTAGGATCTCGATGATGCATGCAAGAGGAGTGTTGCAGAGTAACATTGTTAAGCTGACTGAAGGTAAAAATTGCCTGATTTTAAGAGTCATTTCATGATTTTAAGAGACTTTGATGTTGTTGCTCTTGGTAAATTTGCTTTTGTTTTAGTGAAAGAATATATTAAGTCGTTTGAGCAGAAAATGGCTCGATTGCTCGCAACCTCAACAAAACTGAGCCAAGAAGACGTAAGTCAAAATTTACCATCAACAATCCGAATGATTAAGGGTAATGGACGTTGTGAAGACTCTTATATAGGTCTTGTTGATTTTTTTTTCGGGAAAAGTCTCTAATAACTACAGATGTAAATTCATACATATTAATGCATTTATGAATGCACTTAGGTATAATACACTTTTTGAGTTCAATTGAAATTCATCTGCTGAAAGTGACGTAAATTGCACTCTCCAAAAAACGAACGTGAAAATGGCGCGAAAAAACGTGAACGATTTGGAAAGTGGAATTTATTTTTAAGATTTCCAGCGGAATAAAATTTTAACCTGGTAATCCAGTTTTCTCAAGTTGGGTTTATGTTAAAAGCGCCAATCATTAATCGTTTTAGAAATTCAAAGATCTTCACGGACATCCATTTTTTTCTTTGAAATTCGAAAGTTGAGATTTCAAGAAAGCCTTTGTTTTTTGTTTACTTGCGTTCATTGATCTTTTCCAGTCTTCGATTGGCTATGTTTTCAGAGTAATGAACGTAGTGAAGACTCTTATATAGGTTTTGCTGATTTTTGTTAGTTTTTTTCAGGAAAAAGTCAAAATATTGATGCACTTAACTATAATGCACTTTTTGAGTTCAATTAAAATTCATCTGCTGGAAGGGACGTAAATAGCGTTCTCCAAATACGAACGTGGAAATGGCGCGAAAAATTGTGAAAGATTTCTAGTTTCGAAAGTGGAAATTATTTAATTATTTTTAAGGTTTCCCAGCGGAATAAAAACTTTAACTATAGATCTAGTTTTCTCAAAATGGGTTCATGTTATCAAAAAAAGCGCCAGTCGTTAGTTGTTCTGGAAATTCAAAGAGCTCAAAGGTTATCTATTTTTTCTTTGAAATTCGAAAGTTGAGATTTTTTCAAGAAAGTCAGTTTTTATTTATGTTTACTTGTGTTCATTACTCTTTTCCAATCTTCGATTGGCTATGTTTATATATGTATGTTATTACGAATCTTCTTTTTTTTCTAACCTAACTCGCAAATAAAAGTGTTCACTTGTTTGGAATTAGCACTGAAGCATTGAAAATTGCATAGCATCTGTTCTCTGCTCTATTTGTAGCTAATGTTTAATCTTATATTTACTAATAAGCTTCGGTGGTTAGTGTGTGTGTTGTCCAATCTTCGATTGGCTATGCTTATATATATGGCAATATCTTTTTACACTGGCGTCAGCTTAGTATGTTATTACGAATCTTCTTTTTTTCTAACCTAACTCGCAAATAAAAGTGTTCACTTGTTTGGAAATTGCACTGAAGCATTGAAAATTGCATAGCATCTGTTCTCTGCTCTATTTGTAGCTAATGTTTAATCTTCTATTTACTAGTAAGCTTCGGTGGTTAGTGTGTGTGTTTCAAAATCTCACGGTCGCAGTTTCGAATCTCAGTCGAGCCGAATTTTTGCTTATTCGAGGCTTATTTATTCTTATTGTACTTTATAAAGCTGCATTTTGTGTTCTCGCTAGTGTTTACGAAGCGAAGCTTTTCTGTGTTGAATTAAGTCGTTTTTTTAACAGATAAAGAAATTGGGGAAAAGAGACGAAGCAACGGAGGTCGAAAACTTCGTCCTTGCCAACACAAAAGATCTGGGAGACGACAAGTTTTTGTGTCCCCTGTCCGGTAAAAAGTTCAAAGGACCTGACTTCGTTCGAAAGCACATCTTCAATAAACATGCAGAGAAAGTCGAAAATGCCAAGAAAGAGGTAATTTTTGTTAAACAGTTGAACTGTAACAATCACGAAGACTAAGTTAGAATACAAAATGGTTTACTGTCCTGACGTATTTTAGGTACAATTTTTCAACAACTTTTTGGCTGATTCGGATCGACCGACACTCCCAGATGCTCCAAAGAGAGAGGCTAGGAGCGACATTCCCATGAACAGTGGAGTGGGAATGGGTGGTATAAATTACGGGAGAACAGATTATAACACTGGGTACAACCAGAATCAAGGTGGCATGTACCAAAACAGACGAGGTGGCTACTATGATAACCAGGGCGGAGGAGGAATGAATTACCAGAGTGGATATAGACAGAACTATGGGGGCTACAATCAGCAGTATAATAGTCCAAATTACAGAGGAGGTGCCATGAGAGGTCGAGTTGGAGGGGGCTACAACAACTATAATGCCGGAGGCTATGGAAGACCGCAAGGAGCGTGAGTGAGGCTTCTCAAATCTTGTTGTCCTCCTTTTAAATGTGCTTTCTAAGAATTATAAGTTCCCAATTTGAATGGCATGTTTTATTTGCTTCGTTTTGGCATCAATGAAAGCAGTTCAAGTATTACTGAACATAATTTTTGCATTAACATGTTGCCGATTTAGATACAATCGTGACATGAGGAGTTACAAGGACCTAGATGCTCCAGATGATGATGTGTGATCTCTCTATGAAACTAAACTAGGCTCATTCTTTCAAACATCGGTGATTTGACCTCATCTGTTACGTCAATGATGATTCTGAAAACTGGACGAAGATATTTTTAAGTTGAACTTTTCATCTGAACACCTATACTATTTCATTTAAGATAATTATTGGCATTCAGACTTGTTTTAATAAAAGTAAACTTTTGATTGTGTATGCACGTGATATAATGCAGTTTTCTTTCTTTGTGTTTTTCAATGGAAGTTGAAGTTAGTTTAAGTTGAAATCTTTTTCATCGAGTTGTCGGAATTGATTTTTTGCTACGTCATCAAAGGTTCGTGTAGAGTGCGTGCCATTATAAACTTGATTGACGCTAAAGTTTACTCTTATATAGGTCGTGATGATTCATTTTTTTCTCGTTTTTTTTTGGAAAAGTAAATTTTATTCAAGTTACAATTTGATTTTTCGAGGTGTGACTTATTATTTCTTTGCGATAGCAAGTGTTGCAGCGGGGTTCAAGACTTTCCCGTAAAAAACTATGTTCACAGAATTCAGCATGCATATGCAGTACACGACGTATGCATGTACCATTTGCGTCCTATTTTCACTAATTGGTCTATTAAGCCCACTGCGACTTCATTAGTGTTAAGCTTAGTGTGTTATTACGCACCTTTTATTGTAACCTGACTCACAAATAAAAATTCATTTATTTGGAAATTACACAGAAGCATTGGAAATTGCATAGCATCTGTTGTCTGGTTTATTTGTGGCTAGTAATTGGTGCCTATTAAGCGTCCGTGGTTAGAGTGTGAAACTCTAAATCTCTAGGTCGCAGCTTCCAATCTCTGACAGCCGAATTTTTACTATTTCGAGGATTTTTTCTATTTCTCTTATTGCACTTAAGCTGCTTTTGTCGCGGTCCTGGTAGTGTTTGCGAAGCTTCGTCTGTGTTTACGATTGCGATTAGGAAGCTTTATCAAACCGGAGTTTTGACTTTTCGGGTTAACATTGTGTTTGAGAGAATCTCTTGTAGCTTGATGCAAAATGAAATCAAACTTCTATGCGTTCTCGACCAATTTACCCTGCAATGAACCAATATGCCTGGGACCGCAAATGTCCTGTTTTCGAATTGGACAAGGGCCTGTTATTTTCTTCAAACGGGAAATACTGTTTCAAAAATAATTGTCGGCCAATTATTTGTCTGCTTATCTGATGCCGGGTATTTTATCACATCTTGGAATCGTTTTTTTTTGCTGCGCGAATTTCTCTTTTGTTGCCTCTAGTATTTGATTTACTCCTACAATTTGTACTTTCACTTACCTCGACTTAGTATTTCCTTTATTTTTTGTTACGATTAAAAAAAATAGCCGGTATAAATTATTTCGGCCTAGTTTTTATTGGCCTAATGAGCTATTTTTAGGTCCTTCCAAGGGAATCACTTGTTCAACACTTCCCTCCACACTTTTTAAATTGGCTGTATTTTTACCAATCGGTTTAATGAAATTTTTTTCATAGAAATAACTGGAAAATTTTCGTTATTTTCAAATTTCTGATTTGTTAAAGGGAAGGCAAACTCCATTATGGAACAACGAAAATGCAAAGTTCATGATAAACATAATCGAGTTCTAGTGTTGAAAGCAGTTTATTTTCGAATTTACCAGGAAAGTAAAAAAAAATTACCTCTTGATCAGTTATCTCTAAAGTTGTTAATTTCATCAAAAAGTTGAAATCAAAAATTGTGCTAGAAAATCAAATAGCTTTAATGCCATTAATTTTTCACGGAAAATGAAAATTGAAGTTTTTCCAAAAAAAATATCCTTATGTTTTCTTTACTTGTGTTTACTGACTTTGACTGTTTGTTGGCTATAATAACTTTTCGAACGCTAAGTTGTAATTTTTTTTATTGAAACGTTTTTGACGCAATTTTTTGAACCTAAAAAACCGTTACTATAGTTCAAGGATTTCTGGATTTACGGGTTCGAGAACTTTCCTAATTGGGCGTCTTATTCATACTTGACAAGCTTAATGTAGCTGGGGAGTGTTTTTTGTAGGTTCTCTGCAAATCATATTTCAGGCAATTGTTTGAAAGTTTAGCAGTCAATTTTTTGAAATTTTGTATTTAAATTTACTCATTTCAATCATTATTTATAGCAAACGAAGGAAATGCAAGTTGTTTGGCTGCATGTTCTCAAGCAATGTTTTAAATGCACTGAAGCATTTTTGAATCATATGACCAAAATTTTTCCTATCGTTCATCTATTTGCTGTGAAAAAGAAATGAATGTGTATCCCGACTCCTTATACTTTAGGTAATTGATTTTTATAAGCATTGAAATAAGATTGTTCTTAATTGTTAAGCGCACTATTTTTTCAACAGGATTTTGTTTAATTTAATTTTTTTTTCATATACGAGAGCAAGTAAATTGTACTCTCGGGAATTAGATTTTTTTTCCCGTAAACAACTTTCTGCTGCGGCTCAGGTATGTTCACTTTCCTAAATATTTGTCGAAACCTATTTTTTTGATTTGCAAGAGGATGATACTATTCGAAAAGCCGCTCGCTCTCCTGCATAAACGCCTAGTCTCTTTTTACGCTACCCTACTTAATACGGCCTTCAAAAAAAACTGGGATAATATTGTACCCAAATTTTCAGATTTAATTTTTCTCAAAACTTACGCCTTAAAATCTGAGTGAGATGTAGGTTCAATAGAAAGATCAGACTGTGGAAATTCCCCCTGCTCAAACGGTTACGCACTATTTTTTTGAACAAATAGTTGGGGACCTCGGAAAAGTCAAAACGTTTTAACTTTCATCGAAAACTATCCTCCCAAATCGGAGAGTTTCGTTTCAACCGAAATCACTGGTTAAGCAAAACTCCCCTGCATCATAGGATATGCCTAAAAGGTTTCGCACAAAAATGTTATGGCTCTCAAGAAAACGGAAAGTTTTTGATTTTTCTGACTGTTTTTTGAATTTTTTTAAAACTTTTCTCGAAATCGATCCCCCAAATTGGAGATTGCAAGTTCAATCAAATGAAAGGGTTGGCAAAAAATCCCAGGTATAAGTGGCTTCGGGGAATTTTTCTTACAAAAAAGTTGTCCTCCAAAAATCAATTTTTTGATTTCTTGTCCGTGTTTTGAACCTTTTTGACTTTTCTCGAAAGCAACCCAGCCGAATCTGATATCAAGAGTTTAATCGAGGTATGACATGAGGTTGTGGGAAGCTTCTGTGTATAAGCGGCTACACCTTAAAGTTTGGATGAAAAAGTTTTTCGCGAAAATGCCTTTGTGAAAAAATTTCACCCTTAGTTTATTAGTCAAACAACTGGGGCTCTGCGTGGAAGCAATTTTTGGTGTTTTCCATTTTATTCATTTCAATCTCCACCAGTACCACAAATTTGAGAAAACCAAACAAATTCCAGTTTTAGATGATCGCTTATTTGTTTTGTAGTTTGTAAATTTACGAACTCTGATTTCAAATGTTTTTATAGGTTATTTAAAAATTTATTTTCGGCTTACCCAGGATTGACACCAATTTTTTGCCTTGTTTATTGCTCGGTCTTTGATTCTCATTGCCTGTTGTCGTATATATAATTTTCTTAAGTACTTTTCTAGCCTAAGTTTTTGAAAAACGATTTTTGTAATGCAATCATTTGATTGTATTGTACTCCGCTTCATCTCAAGGTTTCTTCTTCGTTTCAGACACTATCTTTTGACTTTTGGCATGGTATCGCAAATCAAAAGGAAGGCAAACTCCACTATTGAAAGGAAGGCAAACGCCACTATCGAACAGCAAAAAATAAAGGTCACACAAAATGTGATCCACATCTACTTTCAAAAGGAAATTATTGTCGGTTTTTGCAGCGGATTGAAATTTTCACTTAATAATTAAGATTGTTCAAATTGGGTAAATTTTACCCAATAAAAAAGCCAATCTTAAAAAGTTCTTGAAATTCAAATGTATTTCAAATTTTTAAACAAAGTTCAAAAGTTGAAGTCTAACAATAAATAAGTCTGTTTTTGTTTCTGATTTCTTGCGTTCAATTACTTTTTAAATTGTATGATAGCTATGGCTCAGTTGCGAACTTAAAAGTTCAGAGGCTTGCAAAAAATTTCAAAATTGTTGTCGGTTTTTAGCTCCAATGGTTCAGTTGAAGAGTGTTTTATCATGCTAGTTTTTTAAATAGGAAACTTCACTCTCAAATAAGTTGTTTTTTGGTTTTTTATGCCTGTTTTTGTATGCCTCGTGGTAATCTTTGAAATGAACATTCTTTATATTCATTGATGTCATCATTTTGTTTTGAAAACTTCTACTAAGCAAAATATGATAGTTTTTCAGTCTACCTTCACTGACTCGCAATTTAAAACATTCATCCAAAAAAAATTACCAAAAGTTCATTGTTGAGCAAAATGTTGGTATTGCGGACATGAAAAGCGCGGTCCGTTATCTACTGTAATCGAATCTTAGGAGAAGTAACATTATTGTTCTTTTAATCTGACATTTACTTCATCGCAAAAACTTAAGATGTATTTTACAGATGTATTTTCTACCTTTGTAACAAATTGATCCGTTATAAGTGAACTCACTACCAGTCTCCTTAAATCATTTAGGATGCCGTCCACCATTTCACCTTGGTTCGCTCGTTTGTCGTTCCTTATGCCAAAAAGAAACGAATAAAGTCTTTTGGAAAAAAAAACTTTTTTAAAAAAAGGATTGTTTTTGATACTCCTTAACCGATTAAATTTATTTTGTTGTTGGAATCTAGCGGGTGAAGCTTAAGACCATGATTTTCAGGCTAACCTCTTGAAAAAAAGTGATAGTTTTCTCAGAAAAATTTGGGTCGGTGATTGAAAATATTGGCACTTAATTACCGAATTTGGGTTCAACAGGATGTTAACCTCATCTCTTAACCAGTGATTAAAGGACATTGTTGTGCCTTAATTTGAGTTTTTTTCCTGGATAATTATGGTTAATTTTGGTACACTTTTTCTGTATTCCAAACTAATTTGGGTTGCAGACTTGAGGTATTTGCTTTAAAAGACGTTAATTGGATTCCAAGAGTAATCACTTTTTTTGAAAAGTGTTCTTGTCTCTAAAACATATCTGATTTTGAGTAATTTTCTTTTTCTAAATAATCAGGGTTTTGCAAATAAACTTACCAATAGTTCGCACAGTTTTGAGTCAATGATTGGATATATTCAAAAGACAATGTTAATCCATTTTATCTACTGTAAATTTTTAGAAAGGATTTATTGTCTAATTTGCGCCTATCTTTTAGTTATTTTGC